GACTCAATTCTCTAACCCCCAATCTCGTCAATGGCGTCTTTGTAACTCGAAACTTTGATTGTACGCGCCAGGGTCCCTAAGTCCACCGGTTATGGTTGATACGACGGTTCTCACGACGCGTCCTGTAAACATATTGGATCTCCTTGGTGTTGTCCACCGTGGGTCGTGTTCGAAGATATCTCAACTGTCTCTTCGCGTCGATTACAAGGAAGACCGCCAAGTCAAACGTACAGCATTGCATAGACGACACTAAAATTCAAGAGACTGGACAGGTACGCTAACGGCAATGCACTTAGAAATAGTTTATTTAACTTAAGAAATATTTAAATTTGCGACGCTTAGTCCAGGGATTAGAAGTGTGCCTATGAACTTTGTCGAAGCGCGACGACTGACTAAAAGAGCAGTCAGGCGTGGGGGTCGGTTACTTTTTCTCTGTCTAGGTTAAACAATTGTCAGAGAGTACGGAGGCAGGTAATCGCGGAAGGGATCCTTTGGAGTAAGAAGAGATATGTTTGGTTTTATTTGTGATGTTTTGAGTATTAATGCTCATGGGCAAGAATAGTCGAGACTATGTACTTCCGACAGAAGGTCCAAATATCGTGCTGTCTGGCGTGTGGAAGGAACTATGTAACTGCCACGGCTGGCGGTGCGGAGGCACACTGCGCAAAGGATTATTTTTTGAGGGGCTATATCGACCTTTGATTGACTGAAAGACTTGCAAAGTTGGAACTAATGTTTGACAACACGTTTACACACGTATTTGACCTTCTTGGAAAGTACATACGATCTGACTATTCTTGCACTCCACTCTCCTCCAAAGGAACCTCGCTCATTTTAGCTCTACAGACGCGCCGTCTGCCCGCCTACCGGCTTGTATAACATCAGACCTCTCGCTGTCTAGTTGTGTTTATGCAGACATTCTACGTTTGACTTTGCGTTTCCCTTGATGACCGAAGAGACAGTGAGAATTCGAACACGACGCTACACTGTGTGTGGACCATATTGTTTAGACTCGCCGTCGTGCGGCACGGAAACACTGCCCCATAAATGTAGTGCCGAAAGAGACTCTACCAAAGTTTCGAATCGAGTCGAGCACGCGATTTCATTTTCAACCTCCGGAGAGCGGAGATACTTACACAAAAACAGAGACTGTGTTTGTCCGGAGAGACGAGGCGGGAGTCACAAATTTTTTTTTTTTTTTCATGTGAAACTTCCGTTGACGTCTTCTCAGAAGTTTTTCTCCCGTAGGAGCATGGAGTTCTTTTTCCTCGCTAGGTTCTGCAGACATGTTGAAATTGAGAGGAGGACAGTCAGTCGAAGAAATTTTTTGCAGGAGAGGCACCTTCCTTGTTGGGAAGTACTGAAGGAGCTGGCGTCCTTTACGGCAGGTCCCAAGGATATGGGGGCGTGATATGGTCTGCCACGAGCTCCCTCCTGTGGCGTCAGACGCCCGGGGACCGGCAGACACCCCCACCAGCCCTGGGTGGCTCCTCCCACGACGATAGATACCTCAAGGGAGGGGAGAGGACCTGTCCCACCGCCGACTAAGGGGACCCCCCGTGTCCCTGGTCCTCGCAACCCCACAGGCGGACCTGCGGGCAAAGGGTGGGGTACACAAGTAGACCGAGCCATGGCGTACTTTGGGGGACGGCAGGACGTGGTCCTCTTTCCTTTACTTCTGTTCTCGGGTTGAGACACACACTATCTCGTACTTATTTTTCCTGACGCGGATGGTTCCAGCTGCATCTCCTCCGACAACCCCCCCAACTACCTCCGAAGCATGCCTCCCCCCCCCAGGCAGACCCACGACCCTACAGCCCCATAACATTGGACGCATGGCCTCCTCGCTCCGAGAACCTTTACCTTTCGCGGCGGAGAGGTAGTAAGCCTGTCTACGTCCCCCACCTCCGGCCACGGCTTTCGTAGGCCGCGGCATCAGCTTCGGGCCCTGGGCGGAGGGTTCCAACTTCACACGTGACTCGTTTTTGTCTGTCCTTGCTACAAATAGTGGCGTGAAGGTTCGTGGGTGTTTAGTCGGAAAATTTTTCTTTGGAAGTAAATGTTGTGCTCATTTTTCGTTCCTTCTTCCTCTCCACAAATTCCCTTGTCTGTAACAAGCATGTTCTACAAGGCAAGCTTAACAAGAGTTATTATTTACTGACAAATGTTTCTCACCAACCTAGTTAAACTTGGCCAGTACGGAATTACTCCAAATGTGGAATAAAGTGAAAAACCCCTTTTATACCTAAGAATTGATTACGAAACACCTTACGTCGTAAACTTTTAGTATACTTTGATACGTACACGCCGTAGAATAAAATTGTATCTTATTATTAATCCTTTACAGAAACATTATTTTACTCGATTTGAAAAACAATAATCCCACTACCTGCTTAGATTTAGAATTGTTACGAGTGTCAAAGGAGGAGGTTGGAGGTTCTCAAAGGTTACGCAAGCGCGAGGCGACCGTCCTCAGGACAGTGGTACTTCTCGTCGTTCCTCCTACCTCCTTCCTTCCTTGCTCTACGTCGGAACTGCTAGTCAGAGTACGGCGAAGCGTAGCTACAGTTTGTCTGCAAAGGTAGACCCCTTTTTACTCTTTTCTGTGCTGTTTTAGTCTCTTAGTGTGGTTCTCTCGGAGTGTTTCGACGAGGACTCTCCTCTTGTGTGTGTTTTCCAAAGACCGCCACAAAGTTTTACTTAATGGCATTAAAAGCCTG